TATTTGCTCTTTCAATTGGATTTAATTAGCTTATCATAAACTTTTTTTTTATACCAAATTTATTACGACTCGGCCCGGAGCTTAAAATTAACCAATACTAGAATAGACGGTCGAATAGTGAGAATTAAATTTTCTATATTCTTTTATAATTTAACAAATAAAGAGTCACTAATCATATTAAATTAAAACAGTATTTAAGTTTATCTCGCTACTGGTCGATCACGTCTCTAAAAATGTTTTCTCTTCTATCGTTCATCTTTTAATCAATTAAATTTGCCTGAAAAGTTAGATTAAAAATAACCCTGAACTAAACAAACCAATGAATACTCATATTCCTACATCAATATAAGAAAAAAGAAAGCAAAATAAATGTCAGTTAAACTCTTCATAAATCAATATTAACATTTGATATACTATCAATAAATCTTATCATATCAATAATATACCAGTATCATTTCATATCTGTATGATCGTCACAAGATCATTGTTTAAAAATTGTACCACTTACGGTATTTCAATATCAATGTCTTTTTTCATATACATGCACAAGTACCTTAGTATTTCCCCATTAGTATCATTAAAGGGTGACTCCATCATAGTCAAATATGTATATACAAACATACTATAAAAATATTATTTTTTTAATAATAAATATTTCTTTCTTATTTACATAACAGTCAATATTCTTGTGCTATATTCAATGAAAAATTAAAAAAAGTTGAGTACACATGTCATTATTATAATATGAACAAAATTCATTGGTATGTAGTCTTATAACAATAACAGTAAATGCATTTGGTCGAGAATAAATAAAATATTACCAGAGCAAAAGAATACGAGCATTTACCTTGATGATAGACGATTTGCTTACTCTTAACTTGTATCAAATCTCTACAATTATCACCTATAAATATAAAATATACAATTTTCGCTTTACTTAATTGTGTTTTAATTTAATTATGAATTACTGTTGTACCAAACTAATTTAATTAACATTTCAATATTTTAAACTTTAAGTTTGAAATTTATATTAAATATTATTAATTATACAAAAATATGTTTAGAATTAACAACCTAACTTTTCTTTAGTGCTTGAATTAAATGCACTTTTAATGTTTACATGATAAACTTATATATATATAAGAGGTTATTATACGAGCCCCCAGTCACCATCATGTGTTTAACTATTCGAGGACCGCCCTCACTGCCGACAAACTGGTCAGAGGGGGATTCAAACTCGTGATCTGAAGAGACTTAAAACCTTCAAAGAGGCTGCTCTGTCAACATGCCAAGACTATTTCCTCCTCTTCAGAAGTTATTTCTGAACCTGAACCTAGGATGTTTGGTTTTACAACAATTAAAATCTCTTCGTGCATCACCACTCACAACCTACATGACAATAATTTTCTCTAGTTGTCTCAATATTTGTTAATGTACATATGTGATAATCGAAAAGATGATAAACTCACAGTGGAAAATCCTATACCAGAAATTACTGATCCTAAATATCGGATATTGAAGATTGAAGATCACATAGCTATATCATTGTTCATGGATACAACCAAAATGCTATGAGGCATTGACAATTTATATAAGTATATGAGTTGATCAGACAATATACATATTTGAGTCAATGTATCAATCCCACGAGATCAAGTTAACTTTTAGAATTGTGAAAAGCTCTAATTTATCGGTTGTAAATCTAGCTTGAAATGTTCGAGCTTTGATGAATTTTTGAAAGTCTTTAAACCTAATTTTTGCAATATCAAAATCTTAGGAGATTAAAGGGAAGGTTTCTCTCCTAATTTGAATTCTAGAAACCTAGAGTTATCCAGGTGACAAAAGTTAAAGCTGACGATTAAGAACAAATCTCCTCCTTAACCTCCCTCAATGGTCAAAAGAAGGTTTGGAAATTCGAATCAAAGCTTATTTCACTAAACTATGCAATTTTTATCGGGATCTCATATTTCCTTCATGATCGCATAACCTAGAAAAATTATTTCTATTCTTGTAAGTTTATGTGTGTTAATCTAGCTGTTCCACTTTGTTTTCTTCCGAAATTCAAAATTTGCAATAAATTTTAACAAAATAACCAGCCAACCAAGTTGGCTGTAAATGAAGTAGAAAATATTAAAATAACATAACACGCAATTTCAAATCAGTCACACCAACGAAAGTTAAACTCTAAGATTTCGAATCATCATGTTCCGTGCGACCTCTAGAAAATGTTGATTATTCCTCTCTGCTACTCCATTCTGTGTTGGTGTGTATGAGCACGTGGTTTGGTGTTTTATTCATTGAGCTGACATATAATCCCCAAAATACTTTGTTGATATATTTTGTCTTATTATCAGATTTCAGTGTCTTTACAACTGCCCCATATTGGGTCTAGTTTGCCTTATAGAAATCTTTAAAACAAGCAATCACCTCACTCTTCTGTTTCATCAAGTATATATAGGTAACACGAGAAAAACAAACAATGAACGTAGCAAAATAATGATAATCATTCATAGAACTAGTAGAACATGGTCTGTATACATCAGAATGTATCAAATCAAACACACCAGAGCTCCTATTCCCTGAACTGACATAAGTGCTCCAAGTAAGCTTGCCAAACTCAAAAGCATCGTACACCAATTTCTCCTTATTTGTCTTTTCATGCAAGAATGGATACAAACAACTCAATAGAATGAGCGAAGTGTGTCTCATACGTCTGTGATGTAGCAGCAATATATCTTTCACACTCCTCTCAGATCCTCCGGTTCCAGCACCTCAACTATAGATGTCAAGGCTGAGTCTATCCCCTCTCTATCCAAGTACCAAAGTTCACTATGCCATGTGTCAGTCCCCAAGTTTTCGCTAGTCCTTTTCACTTAAAAGATTATATTTGGAATATCAAATGAAACAATACATTTTAGTTGAAATATAATAACACCAATGGATAAAATGTTCATTGGAAAGGAAGTGGCGTACAAAACATTGGACAAAGTCATACAATTGGTATACCTCATTTTGCCTTTACCAACTATAGGCTGTGTTGTACCATCAACGGTCTGAATGCTTTCTAAGACTGCTAGGTGAGTATAGGAATAGAACTCGCTAATGTCACCTGTCATATGTCGAAATGCGCTAGAATTTACTATCCATTCTGTTGAACTGTGATGGATATAGAGATAAGAGTATGTCTATCACGAGCGTCTTTGGCTGAGCGAGTATAACTAGCAGTGTTTCCCTTGGATGAAGATAAAGTGGATGCATCCCTAGTGACATCACATGCCTCTCTCCGTTTCCTTTTCAACATATCTAATAACTCATGATTCCATCGGTAAAGATCACCTGTGTCTCTATCTCCTTCTCCGCTACCATCAGACTTGCTCGGAAGCCTCATCTTTCATCCCTTTGGCCCCACAATTACGACCACAACCTCTAAACTATCCACTTCCACCAAACCCTCTCTCCTTGGGTAGATTTGGACAAGTCTTACTCAAGTGTGCCTCTTCTCCGTAGTTGTAGCACCTGTGGTTCTCCTCTTAAGCACATGTCCTACCTGAGTTTGAGGCAGCCAAAGCTAATCGCATTCCTGGAAGTTCACGCGGTTGTTCCGGAACACATGTTGAGGTAAAGGTCCCCGTCGAGACACTAGCTCCTTGAGCCCGACCGTGACCTTTAGAACTTTTGGATCCATCTTCCCCAAAAGTTTCAGTCCCTTACCTCCCACACTATCTCCGTTTCCTGACATTTTCAATCGCGAGGATCAAGTTCACTCTGAGCCCCAAGTAAGACCGAACCAGGCCAACCTCCCTATGCCGTGATGACACGACTGCTCTCCTACCTCCCTGTTTGAAGTTGAACCCTGCTTAGTTCTAACTGCCATTGCTTTGCCAAGACCACTCTGCTAATTGCAGTTGCTTTGCCAGGACGTCGATTTCGACCCTTACTCGACGTGGCTGCTTTGTGTTCCCTGCTCGTTGCGGCTCCCTCACTATCCAGCCGTAATCGCGACTGTATCGACAGAGTCCATGCCGCAATCCCTTCAGTGCCTTCCCAGCTAGCTTTAATCGCTACTGGATCGCCAGTAATGCCGCAATTCCATCAGTGCCTTCCCAGTTGGTTTTAATCGTGATAGTATTGCCTTCCCAGTTGGATTAATCGTGATAGTATTGCCTTCCCAGTTGGCTCTAATCGTGATTGTGTTTTGCCGCAATCTCGTCGTTCGCCTTCCCAGTTAGCTCCAATCGTGATGCTTGAATCCGTGATCCCATCCTTGCCTTGCCGCACACCCATAGTTGCCTTTCAGATTCTCGTCATGGTCTCTTCGTGTAGCTCTCTAAGCGACCCCCTCCAAAATCCGAGTGGCAGATTCGAACAACGCTGCAGAGAGGAGCAGCTACTCTGATAGCAAATAGAAAAGAGTTGTACAAAAAAATTTGATTATTTCATTCATAGCGTGGACTTAAATAGGTTTAATTTTTTAACAAATAAACCCACAAACAATGGTTTTTACACATAACTCTCAACAATTGGGGACAGCAAAGTCCACCATATTAAATTTGAACTAATTGTAGGCTGGTTGAAGCACCTGAAAGAAGTTGGCAATGACAAACTCATCATTATATTTTTGCCGTGTAGCTGGATCAATGTTATGGTAGCAATATGTCAAGGCTTTATCCCATTTTTCTTTCAAGGTTTGTTGTGTCGTTGAATATATTTGTAACTCTTGCAAATACAGTAGGTCAGAAACCAGAGTATAAATGAGAGAGGTTATTGTCCAGAAGGTAGGTGGAATGAACAATCAATTTGATCTTATGCCAAAAAATCCACCATGGAGGTGAAGTGAAGTTTTACTTAGTTTGTGGTCAGATTTTGAAAACCATGATATTTCCATGAATATGATAGTAGGTTTTCTTACTTCTGAAGCATAATATCACATAAGCATATTTGATAAATTATGCATCTCTCACATTTTATCATTTGTTAATCCTACTCTAACCTCAATACAGATTGGGGTGACACATTACTTCTCCTATATGAAGGCAAAGGAAGAACTCGGTTATACTCCCATGACAAGCCCTTGTGAAGGCTTAGCTAAAACAATCTCATATTGGAAGGATAGAAAGCAAAGAGACGTACCTCGCCCTAACATTTTTATATGGATCTCTGTTATTGTCGGGATGTCTTCTTTATTCTACACAGCCTTCCTACCAACTTTTTGGCCGCTAAAGTGGTTGAATTCTCTCGCTCTGTTCATCTTCAGATCGGTATCAAACCTCCGATTACTTTTCTATATTGCAGTATTACTTCATGTGGGTGAAGCCATTTATGTTTGGTTCCGAGCTAGGAGAGTGGATTCTGCAAATGCTACAGGTTGGTTCTGGCAGACATTTATTCTCGGCTTCTCGTCTACAAAACTATTCCTGAGACGAGCCAGCCAGGCATAACTTCAACCTTTTCGATGGTAATTTCTCTTTTCTGGTCTGTATTTGTGATCTCATAAACATCGTTTCCAATGGAGTTAGAACTATCCTGCAAATGCCTAAAATTTCATAAACAGACTAGTTTTTTTTTGTTAGAATTAGGCGTGCCGAAGTTTGAATGCATTGTTTTAGCTTAACGTTTACTACTGCTCATAGATCTAAATGACCTATATATTTATAGTATTGGGATATACCTGTAATTATAATCTCTTCTGAAAATGCAGAGCTAGTGAAATACATGTTTTGCAATATAGGAAGGTGGGAAATGCTGCCATATTAGAGGCTTTATTATTATTTTGTGAAAGTTAAGGCTTGAAGCATAAATTTGATATCAAGTTTAGCCAGAACATTCAATAAATTTTTTCGAGGGCATTTATATACATAGCACTGAATTTTTAAGTATTTACATATATCACACCAAAACCTTCATTCATAGCGCTCAAATTTTTTTGCATCACATGCAAAATAGCATTAATTACGCTTTATTTACTTTTTAATACATATGTAAAGTGCTATGCGTGCTCACACCAAAACCTTCATTTTTACGTGCATGGTACCCAATTTTTTTGTATCACATGCAAAATAGCATTAATTACGCTTTTTTTTACTTTTTAATACATATGTAAAGTGCTATGCGTGTAAATATGAAAATTTAGGTGTGAGATACGTAAATTTCATAAAAATTGTGTGTTTTGTATGTAAATTTTTCATTTTTTTTATCAGTTTAGTTGACACCCATTATTGTTTTGTATTATGTGGCTTGCTGCAGTAATTTGATAAACAAGCAAGTGTTTTGACCTGGTCATTCATTTAAATAAAGTGTCAGGTTGACTCAAAACAGCCAAGGGAAATGCTTTACTGCTCAATTCAGAACCTCAAAGAAATAGGTCTTCCTTAGTTGCAATCTAAGTGCGATTTTTTGTTTTTGTGTGGCAATTCCCCTTCTATTTACATATGTAACACTTCGAACTTTGATTTTTTACATTTATATCATTTTGGTGCCATAAACCTATGCATGAAAAGGTGTTTTTCACTTTTAAGAAGTTAGTAGTCGTGGTATTTTTTTGCGATGTTATGAATCTGAGTGTTATGTATATACATATGAAAGTTAGGTGGTGTTTGGTACGCAATTTTAAAGGGGATTTACGTAAATTTTTTTAGTAAATCTTCCAAACGCGAAAAAAAAAGTTGTTAAATCCAAGAATTTCTCAGTTTGATGTAAATCTTGAATGTATTAAATTCAATTATTAGATGAATTTAACGGATTTAAGTGAGGAAGAAAACGTCTCCTTGTCGTCTCTTCTCTCCTCCGCCAAACACTTCAAAGGGATTTAACTGTATTTAACTCTTTTAGATTTGATAAATTTGGATTTACAGATATTACAGAAGGTACTAAGTCGTATTTAAGTTAAATTTGGGTGTAGCGAAACACCCCCTTAAGGTGTTAGATATGTAAATACCAAGTGTCATGTGGTAGGTATGTAAATTGCCCTATATTTTTTAGTGCTTTTATTTACAAACTACCTTGTTATAATTTGATCATGTAAGGAGAAAACCATAGGCTAAAAGTAGGAAAAAGAAAATATGTAGAATGATCAAACTACACCTCTAAAATCCTTCAACAAATTTGATTGGAAGCTGACACAAGATGGTGGCCATCTTGATATTTTAGTAGAACTTTTTCTTTCTTATAAAAGGAAGCAGAAGAGGAGAATGGAGATTAAAAGCTGGTGGACATCTCAAGCCCAATAGAAACCCTCACTTCCTACCCTTAAGATGAATAGCAATATGAATTTTATGTCTCATATTATATCAAATACTACTTAGTTTATTCTCCATATTGCCAAATGATACAAGCTTTCTTTTGGCTTCTAGCTAGATTTGTGTATCAATTGGGCAGAGTTGGAGTCATCATCGACTTGAATTTGAGCCGGATTAATTTAATCTTCGTTGAGCTTAAGCTCTAGTTTGGCTCATAAGCTGACTCTTTTTAGTTGTTATAATAAAATGGCATAAAAACATGAGTTATTAGATGAGAAGTAACAAAAAGAATAATGTATATCAAGAAATAAAATATAATTTCATAACTTTTTTATACTCGAAACTCTTAAAATTTGAAATATCAAGAGCCAGCTCACAGGATAACAAGTCGAGTTGGTGTTGGCTTAAGCATGGCTATTTAACTCATCAAGTTAAACATATCGAGTCGAGCTTGAGTCAGCTTTTAAGTCGACTTAGATTAATAACACGCAACCACAAGCCAAGATTGAAGCCTAATATGCATGTAGATAAAGCTCTCATCTTCAAGTCTTTCTCAAATACATTTCTTTTCATTAGAAGGATAAAATTTAAAATTTTGAGAGCTTCATTTTAGAACAGGACTTCTCCTCTCTCTCTCATCCTCTCTCTCTCTCTCTCTCTCTCTTTTCTTTCCCTCCTTTCTCTCTTCCTCCGCCCTCCCTTTATCTCTCTTCTTCTTTTTTTCCTTCTTTCTTTCTTGCTCTCTCACTTGCTCGTTCATTCTCTCCAAATCTACGTTTTCACTTGCTCGCCATCTCTCTCTCATTTTATCTGGCTCTTTTTCTCTTCTCACTCAAACATACTTTTCTTTCACTCATCTTCTCTAGCTCTCTTTTCCTCTCTCTGATGCTCTCTTTACCTTTCTCATACCCTTTATCAACCTTCCCTCACTTTTTCACCCTCTTACTCTCTCTCTCTCACTCTTTCTTTCTCTCAATCACTGTCTCTCCAACTCCATCTCTATTTCTCTCTATTGTTACCTCTCCTGTCTCTCCATATCTCTTTATTTCTTTCTCACTCAAGAGTGGTCCCTCATATTTCTCACTCTCTTTATTTTCTCACTCCCTCTTTTCTTTCACTCCCTTTCTCAATCCCTCCTTCTCTCTCTCGAGTATCTTCCTCTCTTCTTCTCTCACTCTATTCTTTATGTCACTCTCTCTTCTCTTTCTAATCCTTGCTTACTTCACGTATTCTCACTCATCCTTCTCTCTATCAGTACCTCACCTTTCTCTCTCTTTCTCTCACTTTCCTCTTTCTTCTAACGCTCTTTATCTCTGAATAGCTTCTCTTTCTTCTCTTTCGCACATATTCTCTCTCCCACCCTCACCTTCACTCTATCTATCTCCTGTCCTCGTACTCTCCATCTCTTGCACACCCTCCTTCTGTCTCTCTCCCTCCCTCCATACCGGGGTTACACCCCTCTGTAACCCTCTGTAACCTTTTTGTAAACTACTTGTAATCTACAAATGAGTTTCGCGTTTATGTAGTTTCATGATTACAAATAAGTTACACGAAGGTTATAAGGGAGTTACACAGAGGTTACATGGGGGTATAACCCGGATATAACCCTCATGTACCCCTAGAATAACCTCTGACGTACGCAACGCTGCGTACGTCTTATGTATGCAAATATTGTCAGTCCGGAAGTGTGATGCATGGACCTAAAATTTTCTTTACTCTTGTTGGTGCCAAAATTCTAAAAGACGAAGGAGACACTCAAGTTAATATCCCAAAAACAAAAAAATAAAAAAAAAGAAATAATAAAAAAAATAAATAAACTTTCAATGCAAGCATGAATTTCGATGTGAGCATATATCGCTTTTAAATTTTTGTGCATTTACATATAATTAAGATTTTAAAATCGGATCAAGCATTGTATCATTAGTGGAGTGGTTTGAAGGTCCATGGTTCAGCTGAATTAAGCCAAATAATATAATACATACCAATTTTATTTTAATATAGTTTAAATTAGGGCTGTCAAAGCATCTCGTTGTTCGCGAATAGCTCGTGTTCAACTCGTTCGCTAAGTTAACGAGCCAAACACGAACAACATGAACAAATATTTGTTCGTTCTTGTTCGGCTCATTTTGGCTTGAAATACTATTAATCAATTATATATATATCTTTGATGAGTAGTCTTTTTCAAAAATTTAGTTAACTAAAAGGCTACAAAGATTTATAATCAATTAAAAGTACTAATGAAGAAAATAGAATAAAAATTATTAAATTAGATTCAAATGATGTGTAAATCTTAACCCAGTCCTTAACGTCGGATGACCATGTGATCGGGGTTGTGAAAATGACTCTTTGTTCGTGAACGGCTCGTGTTCGGCTCGCTAAGCAAACACGGCGCGTGTTTGGCTTGCTAAGCAAACGAGCCGAACACGAACACACTTTTTAAGCTCGAAATAGAGCCCTCGTGTTCGGCTCGTTTACACCGAATTTCTATATATAAGTTTAAGCGTTAGATACAAATAATAAATAAGATTTGTGAATGTCCCTACTAAGATAGATTTAATGAAATGCAATATATTCTTATTTTCTTGATATTTTTAAATAAAAATAAATTTATTTTCATCAAAATGGTTAAAAATTTAATGAGATTTTAGACGAGGCTTTACTTCTAACAAAAAGTTCTCTCAAGTAAAATCAAAACTAAGTTGGAATGCTTTAATGGAAAATATAATATTAATTTGAAATATATAACTAATTTGAAGCATGTATCATTTTTGTATGTGTGTGTTCACCCTCAAGCAAACCCATTAATTATTAAAAAGAACTTAAGAAGTCATTATAATAGAATAATAAAAACACGAGAAATTTAAAGAAACATTGAAAACATTGCTAGCCCGGGTTAACTCTAGCTTAACTCATCAGTTCATCGAACTTAGCTCAGGAGTTAGCATGAGTCACACTCCTAATTTGATTGTGAAGTCGATCCACCTCTAGTTTTCAAATCTTATATATTGTTTAACACCTTCTCGATTCTACCTCCTTAATAGCCGTCGGTCTCTACCGTATTCTTTGATCAAAACCTTTACCTTTCTAGATCCTTGCAAGCTATCTTCATCACCAAATTAACTCTCAACACCCCTTCAAAATGTTTTATTCATGATTCTACCCTCACTCCCTTAAGCCTCCACTTCTAAACTCTTAATAACTATATCCATTATCTCAATAATCACATTTAAAATAATCAAATTAGATTCAAATAATTCAGACAAAGTTCCCAAATTATTTTAATTCATGAAACAAATGGCATTGTTCTAAAACTCTAATAATTCATCAAATTTCTACAATTTTAATCACTTAATTACCAAGTCATCAATCATGCTCAATTTGACCAACTAGATAGACTATTTCAATAACCACAATGAACAAAGGGGAAATTACATAAATACCACACATTTTTTATCTTATTTACATATCCAACGCCCAAAGTTTGATATTTACTTCGGCATAATAGAATTATGCATGAAAATGTGTATTTCACTTTAAAAAAAGTGCCGGTGATGATATTTTCGACGTGATTTTGAGTGGTATGCGTATAATATCCATATTTAGATGTTAGATGTATAAATATACAAGAATTGCATGGTATATATATGCAAATACCCCCAAAAAGAAAATGAAACAAAGTAGCATAGCCAATCAAAGACTTCCATACATAATTATCATAACTTCCCTACAAAAATAATAAGAATATCATTTCACAATCTACAGCAAAAAATAACTAAAAACAAAATATTTGCAAAAAACAGGTTTCACTAACACCTGCAGTCACTGATGAAAGAAAACAAAATGGTTTCTGGTTGCAAGATTTGCATGCTTTTTATTAGACTCCCTCACTTCCATTGAATAAATCGAACGCCTTTATTGTTATTTCCATTATGGTTGTCGCCATTAGTGCTCTGGTTATGAGGACTAGCAGGATTCGATGCACCTCGAGAGATTGGGCTCGACGGTCCCGGGAACCCGCCTTGAGTAGGCTTCTCGGGCTCCGACTCACCTGCAGGGTGGATTACCGGTTGCAGTGGCTCTTTACGTCCGCCGCCTTTGGGGATGAAGCTTCCGACAACTACCTAAACAACAAAATCATGGTTTGGTTTGAATAACACATAATGACTATGTTAAAGCTGGGCACTTGCATTCATCCCATCGAATTCCTACGTAATTACATATCTAACATGTCAACTTCATACATTTATATTGTCCAAATCTTTCACTATGTTAACTTTTAGAAAATGAAATACTGCTTGTCATCCATGGGTAAGGTGATGTGTAAAGATTGAAGTATAGGTATAAGATACGTAAATACATAAGAATTAAGTGATATGCATGTAATCTTCCTCGAAAGTTTTTAAGTTTGTTGTTAGGGGCAATTTTCTCACAGGTTTTGTTTTCAAAAGAACTCCACAAACCTTATTGTCATTAATATATTTACAACAACAATCAAAAAGCTTTTTTATTTCCCCTTAAAAACAGTATTTACAAAAAGCTACAACCATCCCAAACCGACAAAAACCAAATCTTAGTTGATCAAAATGTAAATGTAGACTGAAACTACCCAGACAATTAGAATAATTATAGTAATCCATCTATCTAATTTTCTCATTTCCAATCAATCTACCACATTATAGGTTCTTCTCATAAAATATTAGTAGGAAAAACACTATGAAGGTGGCAAGTGGTAAGGTAAGAAGCAAACCTGTACAGGAGTTGCAGCAACCAAAACTCCTGCAACTCCACCTCCTATTACACGGCCATCAGGACCAGCGAGCGACACGCTAAGCCCTCCGGTTCGGTTCGGCTGACCCGAACTTTCAGACGGCGAAAACGAGCCCGAAAGAGACAATATTTCGAATTGCCCCTGAAATTTACATGTTAAAATTAACTAGATACCAATAAAAAATATTGTTTTACCATTTTTTAGAACCATTGTTACAAACTACGCAATTCTTATGTATTACATATATACTACCCAATTTTTTTTTTTTACATTTCTATGATCCTTAAATTTTAAAAAGTGAAATACTCCTTTCATGCATTGGTAAGGTGGTACGGTCTGTTGGCATCAATTTTTTATGTCGCATGTGTAGGATGTCCGCTCCAGCGCTAAAAAAACGTTGCTCAATCCACGTGTTGAGTCCTGTAGCGCGAGACATTTACTTTTAACATTTCGGTGCGTGTTGAGGGGCACGTAACCAGAGTCACTGCGCTAGGCTTTGACTATCGCTTATGTGATGGTCGGTCGGCATTTGACACGTCGGACGACTCTGATCGGGTCAAAAAATATTATTTGTTGCATCACACACGAAATTTGCTCGAATTGCCCCGATCGTCAGCGAAGTTGTCTGGATGAGCCCGGACGATTAAACAGACTGCGTGGTAGCATCCGGAATCCCAATTTTGCTTAGAGGGAACCCTCATTTCATTGCAAAGACGTGTCCGGGCAAAAATGGGAAAAAAAAAAAATTATTATTATTATAATAAAAAGAATCCTACATCTTAACTGTTCACGCCGGTCCAGGGATCAATAAAATATTTTTTTTATTTTATTTTACTTTTTTTGGAAATGGCTTCTCTCTCATACGGATCCTTCCGCCCCCTCTCCGTTTTTTCGCCAAAAGGGCATCCCGTGCCTAGCTTCCCGCCGCCGACTCCTCCTCGCCGGCGAAGGACGCCGCAGGCACCCTCTGCCTCACCAGAAAACTCCCCACCGCCGACTCTCCTCCCATCCGAGCCTCCTACCCGCGAAGGAGAGAGCTCACGTGGAGTCTCTCTCCCACTTTGGCCGACCACTTCTCCCTCTTCTCCTTCTTCTTCTTCTCCGGCGAGGGCTCGAGAGAGGCTGAGGAAGCCTTTGGAAACTTTGTAGGAAGCCTTGGAGGTGCTTCTTGGAGTGAAAGTAGTGAAGAGGGATTTTCTTCCCCTCTATTTTCTTCTTTCTCTTCCGCCGGATCTCTTCCTCATCGCCGTCCTTGTCACTCGCCGGCATTGCATTTACACCGGAGAAAATCAGCGAGGAGAACGTCATATTTCGGGCTCTCCTCCGCGCTTCCTTCGCTCCCGGTGCGCACCGCCGGCGAGCTAAGTCCTCCACCTCGTCATCCTACTCTCCCGGCGACCGGATACTTTGCCGGAGAACTTCAATGTCGTCGGGCAGCGAACGGAGTTGTTGTTTGAGGAAGTGTGAGGGTCTTCCGCCTCGAGGGGAAGGCCTCTGCAGGCGCTCCTTCTCACTGACATCCTCGTGGGTTCCCATTTTCACGGTTGTCAAGCGACCCCTCCCACGAATGTATATGTGCCCTATGCACTTTCTACGAGGTACACTGGAGCACGGACTAGGCATCGGTGGCTCGATGCGTGGGCTCTCCTTCCGCTTTAAGAGAATGTGTCTGCAACCGTCACGGTGGTGAGATCTCCTAAACTAGTAGTCGACCCTAGGTTTAGTGGTGTCTAGGCATGTGAGTTCGATCGCCCACACGCGGTGCGTGCGTCAGCGTGGGTCGATGCGACGACGCACCTGCGTGATGGATCGTTGGTTTCGTAGAGATAACCGTTAGGTTAGGACTTTCTGTGCATGACCAAAAACATTCCGTAGAGCTGAGTGTCTCCAATTTATCGTGAGCCTTAATTCTTTATCCCGCCGGGCCGGAATCTCAATTTTCCCACGGTTTTGGCGCTCCTAATATCTATTAGATGGATTAGTCAAGTTTGATCTTAGAGGACGGGAAAAGCTTTGTAGCTAATCCGTTTTATAAAATCGTAGGTGTTCGTAGAACGGAAAATGATTTGTAGCTAGTCGCCCTACGAATAGGTGGAGAGTTTCCCCTACGAGAAATCAGAGGGGGAAACCCTCCAACATTGCCACACCAAAGCTGAAGACGGTGATGTCGCAAATCCAAGCGCATCAGACCTAGGTTTCCCGGGCGAGGTCGTTTGTATGTGCAACATTCCCCTAGTACGAGCGTGACTCGCTATCATATGTGATCGTTTGGACCTCATTGTTTGTATGTGCATGTCTTGCATGTTACATATTATATGTCATATATCGCACTTGCATTTACACGTTGCACTTGCACTTGCACCTGCATCGACACCACTTGTGCCTCGATTGGTTATCCCGAACCGGTCACATCACTTGTGCTTTAGTCGGCTACTCTGGTCCGGTTGGCACAATACTTTAGTTTGCCGGATGCTCCATCCCGATCGACCTACCACTTGCTCCTTTGCATGTTGTGTATGTGCATGTACATGTTTGTTTGCATTATCGATATCATCTACTTGAGTTGTATTCCTTCGGGTCACTGACTTACCGACATACCTCTTTTGGGCCCCTGCCACTACGGCATGCCTACCTCTGGGTCACTGTCTTACCAGCATACCTCTTTTCGGGCCCCTGCTGCTACGGCATGCCTACCTCTGGGTCACTGCCTTACTGATATACCCTCTTGTCGGGCCCCCGCTATTGGCATACCCTCTTTTCGGGCCTCTGCCACCTTCGGGTTACTGCTTTATTGGCATACTCTCTTTTCGGGTACCTGCCGCTACAACATGCCTACCTTCGGGTCACTGCCTTATCGGCATACCCTCTTTTCGAGACTCTGTCGTTACGGCATGCCCATTCCTACAAGTCATCGCCTTCATGACATACTCTTTATTACTACTTATATATTTTGATTTGCTTGCATTTGCATTTACATATTTGTATGGATAGTGAGCTAGGCTCGTTAGGAGAGTGACCCCGTGTTGGTCGCGATGCCTTAACGAGCATTGCTTGCTGAGTTGATCCCGGTGAGCAATGCGAGTTAAGTAGTCAGGATTGACACGAGTATGACTGTGCTAAAAATTTAATAGACCTAACACGTGTCACCGCTCTTTGTGACACCCTTTAGATCCTTCAGATCTTTAGGATGGGGTCAGTATGACGACCCCATCAAAGTCATATTATACCCACACTCACCCCGCACTCAGATCTTAGGTTGAGGCACTTTTCGTTAGATGATGTGCTAGGCTAGGGCTTAGGGTGCTAGGTAGTATTTTTCGACACCCCTGGCTATTGTTGTGTGGTGCGTTGTTTTGTGCTAGCCATGTGTCACTTTTCTGCTTTTCGGTGTGCTTGCATGCTTCCTTGTATGTGATAGTGTGTTAGGACGATCTTCTGCAGGTGCCGTGCCTACTTATACACACTCACACATGGTTATTATGGGGGAGCATGTAATGATTTCTAATCATTTGCTTGCAGGTGCTCTTTAGCTCCCCCAATTGTGTTATTTAGCTCCCCATTTTTAAGGCATGACTCACTATATGTTATTTGCATGTGAGTTTTCCTCCTGACACTTGTTTTCATGCAATATTGAGTCTTTTCTTTGTCATATATACTTTTTATAGTATAGGAGATTCCTGTAGCAGAAATAAGATACAAACATATGTTCCGATGTGTTAAGCGCGAGAATGTGAGTTTTCTCGTTGACACTTGTTTTCATGCAAGATTAAGTCATCTCTTTTTTCCTATTTACTTTTTAGAGTATAGGAAAGTCCTGTAGCATAAATAAGATACGAGCACGAGTTCCGATGAGTTAGGCGCGGGAATCACGTTGAGGGGATCAGAAGCAGATGCTCATGCCCCGTATCTTAATTCTGCATTTTATATTGATGTATAGAATTAGGATCGAACATGTATATGCAGAGTTATGCCGCATTTTTCTTTTCTGAGATATGTTGCTGACCGAGCGACACCTGTCTGTTTATTATTTTGATTTGGCTTATTTTATCTTTGCATCATGTTGCATATCTGCACATGCATGTATTTTCTTTGTTTCTTTCTGTAGTTTATCTGAGATTTCACGATACAACATAGGCTCTTTAGGACTTAAATTCCTAATTTTCTACAAAAATCATAAATAAAATATTTAAGAAAATTAAAATTTAGGATTAAAATATTCAGGATTTAAAAATTGTAACTTTTACTTTCCTGCATATGTTAATAGGGTCTTCACAATACCTTAGGACCGCTCTAGATAACTGCATTATATTTGCATGTCCCGAGGAGGAGTCCCCGTGCTTCTCCAACCTGACTGACCCAACATACATTTTTATAGGTGGTTATCTAGCGCGCCTAGGATGTTAGAAGACTCCCCGACGCAGACGAGGTGTAAGTCCTTTTGTTTGTCTTTTGTTTGGAGCGTTTCCAGTTTTTTAGTTGAACCTCCACTTATCTTTCTTTCCTGAGGCATCATTGCCACTTTGGTAGGTATAAGTCCTACATCTTGGAGCTCCAGCTTTTATTTTTTAGTTGAACTTCCACTAATCTTTCTTTCCTGAGGCATCATTGCCACTTTGGTAGGTATAAGTCCTACATCTTGGAGCTCCAGCTTTTAGTCATAGGATATAATTTTCTTCCTTTGACCTTAGGGCTATCGAGGTTCTAGTAGACGACGAAATTCACGGATTGCTAACATGGGCAAAGACGTGTTGGTCGACTACCTTCATGACCAGGTAGACTTAGGGTCCTAGTAGTTGTGTATGACGGTTTCGTGGTACCCCGACCCGGTTACCTCTACCTTCTAGGATGACTCCACCTTCCTTTTGTTGAGCCTCTTTGAGCCTTATCACTCCTTTGACTTTGTTGATATCATTTTGACGGCCTGATGCAGATGAGCTGCCGCTCATTTGGGATACGACGATTCGTCCTCTGCCCTTATGACCCGGGCGTGCTTTGACGTGTTGGGATACCCCGTCAAGATGATTTAGGTTATTTCGTGGGTCCCGTGTGCCGATGAGTCGCTACCCATTCGGGATGTGAGAGACTGTTTCTCTGCCCGATGACTTAACGTTAGCTTTGAAGCATTAACATTGTTCCCACACGGAATAACATTCCTTTGATTACATATACCCTAGGTTTACGATAATATGAAGCGAAACTTTTTTTATCGAGAGTATTCTTAAGTATCCCCCAAGATGTAATTAATCAGTAGGAACACATTTCTCTGTGAGTGCTCTTAACCCCATAACAAGTACATACACATGACTCTCTGGTTATGGGTAGTCTACGTAGATACTTCTTTCACGGACATTGGTTTAAGGTGCATCTGCCCGATCTTGTTTGGGCGAACATTCTTGACATATCATTGCGAGATTTATCGCATATAGATTCTCCATGTTTCATTTTTTCTCTTGTTTGTCTCTTTGTCGTATGTCACTTCACTGATTTGATTTGGGAGGGAGATTTATTTGAATAAGGGAAGTATACGATGATCGATAAGTTGACGACTCTTTTTAAAATAAAAAAAAAGAAAAATGAACGGAAACACAGTCGTATGTAAAAACCGAAATTTTAAGTGTTAGATATGTAAATACATAGGATAGGAATTGCGTGGTATTTATGTAACTCTTCCTACATAAAAAAAATAGTTGTAAGGTAGAAAAACCTCATATGCAACTGTTCCGCCAGAAGTTGCAGCTTGGTGGAGCGCGACGCTGGATATGATACCATTTGCGGAGAGAACACATACCGCACGAGATCCCTGATTAGAGAATGACATGATCTTCGTCGACACATCCTGTAGAGTTTATAGAAAAAGTAACAATAACTTCACATCTAACAATATAGCTCTATGAGAAGGAACAAAGGAGGGAGACATGAAAAAATTATGCCCCCCACGATTCACATACATACCATACAATTCTTATCTATTTACATATCTACACCTAAAGCTTGACATTTATTTCACTTTTAAAAAATTAGTATGTGATGTTAAATGTTTGAGTGATATGCATGTAAATATCAAAGTTTAGCTGTCAGATATATAAATATATAAAAGTTGTGTGGCAGGTATGTATGTAAATGTCCAACAAAAATGAAATTTACAACTTACTAGAAAAGTAATAGTGGCACTTAATAAGCTTAGTTTTTTCAAATATAGAAATTACAATTTCTTTCTAATTTTATACCTTATAATTCCATAATTACACAAATAATGCAAAAATGACTACTAAGCAGAAAAATTAAACAAAAATAACATACCTCTCCAGTTTTGACTGTAATAACATGTGGAGTAAATCCAATCCCAGATAGTCCTGTAAGTATTAATGCATTTATAAGTTAATAAACAATAGATTTAAAAGAATAAATGCAAATGACAATTTACAAATACAGATGATTATTGATAAGAACATAGAAAGTAAAACATATTTCAAAATTTAGAGGGTTATTCTTGCAAAATACAGAGGTTTCAAAAGATGTCATCTTAATGTATCAATAAACTATTTTACCAAAATACAAATTTAATATTTATATTTTTAAACTTATCTTAAATAATCCATATTTTTTACTCCAAACTATATAATAAAAATCATTCAATAATACAGAGCAATGTGTACAATGATGCATTTCCGATATGTTATTAACCTAGACTGTTCTAACTCATCATGATCTCATAAATGAACTCACAAACCTCCTATTTCTCTTACAAGTTACAATAAAAAAATAAACTTTAGGGTGTTTGGTAGCATAGTTTTAATAGAATTCAGGCATGAAATTTAAGCAAATCTAGACAAACACTAAAAAAATGAAAATTAAATTCACCGCTCCGTTAAATTAAAATTTCTCGTGTTTCGTGTTTTTTACAAAGTAAATCAAAATTTACTAAATATGATTGAGGGACGGATATAAGGGTTTACTTCTTGGTCCCTCACAAGTTCTATATTAGTTGCATAGGATTTGATAAATCCTATTTAACGTAATGTCAGGTTGCATCCAAACACCACCTACGAGGGGTAAAAATATTACATGCAGAAAAACTAGGTATTGATTGGTGGTATTGGGGTGGTATCAAGTGATCTTTAATATTCGCTCCAATGAGAGAGTGACAGGAACATAATGTTGGGAGCAATAGATAAATTTTTTTTTTTCAGATGTGATAGAAAAAAAATAAGAGCAAATTCAAACACAAAATCACAGAAATTACAAAAAAACAAAAAACAATTTTCACATTCAGACTGCCAAAAGAATGAAGAACAATACCCAAAGCTTTCATCTGAATCTTCTTCCCCCAACGCACATTCTTATTCCTCCTCTTTTTCTTCGTCTCCAACCGATCTGCAGAAGGTAAACCAGTGAATCCAGAAGAAGAACCAGCGCCCTGCAATGACGTTTCATCATCCGGAGTATACCTTCTCGGCCGCCCTCTTTTGCGCTTTATCCCACTATCCTCTGCAATGATGGTGAAGCCATGAGAAGCCTGCGAATCGCTGATCTCCATGGAAGCGTTCTGTGCAGAGGGAAATGGGGAAGAAGGTGGGGATTTCGGTGCCCCAACATTGGAGGAGGGCTCCGACCTTATCTCCATGAATGCAGAAAGAGGAAGACTGTAGTGATCGCTCAAGTCGGGGAAGATTGAAATTAGCTAAATTCGAAAATTTCAGCACCGGGGAATGCGGAAGCGATCAACTGTTCCCGCTCACAGAGGAAGGGGTTCTTAAGTGGATAAAAAAGAGCGCTGAACCCTAGAAATAGGAAGAAGCGGGATTTGCAAATTTAAAAATATTAAAAAAAAAAACTGGTTTTTTTTGGGGAATTCCGACGGGCGCGATTACGCCGGCGGAGAAATTCCGAGAGATTAGTGTAAAAATAACTGTTTGTTTCACCCTTTTTGTTGAAAATACTGAAAAAAATCTAATTTTTAATAGAAAGTTTACAGAGAAAAATAAAAAAAAAAAGAAAGTTTTGAAAATTTAAGAGTGGCTGGGGAAAAAGAATCAGATGCGCTTGAGTTAGGGTCTGTTTGGGCAGCTTATAAGTGCTGGTGGCATTTTGAAAACGCCGTCGTATTGTTTGGTTCACTCGTTTCATCAGCTTATCCGAAACTGCGTTACTGCGTTTGAGTTTTTATACTAAACGCAGGCCACGGGTCGACCCCTCTGGTCGGCCCGCGGGTCTGTTTCAAGATAAGTAGCTTATCATGAAACACACAAGCTGCCCCAAAAGAACCCTTAGAAAAGCTTAAGGATGAGAAAAAATATTACATTACGGGCCAATAAACTTGGCTATATATCTTGAGGAGTCAGACCATATATTAAAGTGTATAATTTTATTTTTATTTAATATGTACGCCGTGTGATATGACACAATTTTATTTGTGACTTAATATAATTTTATATCAGGACTCCTGCTGTAATATTTTTTTTTCAAGAATTGACGAGAAATGCAAAGAAAATGGTCTAATAAATAATAATAGTAATTAAAATTTAAATCCTCTAGTTCTGCAGCGATTCACGAACGGGTGCCCGTGCATTGCCCAATGCTGCTTACTTTAAAAATAAAAGAGAAATTTCAGCCGTTTTTTATATAAATAGATGCCTCTCATGATGTGCTTGCATGTAATATATAGTTATATTTAAGGAATTTAAGGAACATTTTGATTTTCAGGGGAGTTGGGATACATCGGCTTGAATGGATTCAATGCGGCTCGAAATCAACTCGTGATTTGCTATATTTGATTTTGAGTTAACTTGGCTCGAAATCAAATTGAGTTATTTAAATCTGTTTCAACTCGAAATCGGCTCGATTTTGAGCAGTAAATTTAAACTAGCATGCTCAAATTGAGTTATTTCCCGGGTTTAAATTTAAACTAGCATGCTCAAATTGAGTTATTTCTATTTGTTCCTGCTCAAAATCAGCTCGAGGATTATTATATTCAATTTTATTTATCATTATATTAATATATATATATATATATAATTTTTATAAATAAAAAAAATATATTTTGAGCAGATCTCGAGCCAGTTTGAGGCTATCCATATATGGCTCAAAATTGGCTTGAAAAAAAATTCAATCCAAAAAAAAAAAATATTTTGAGCAGATCTCGAGCCAGTTTGAGGCTATCCATATATGGCTCAAAATTGGCTTGAAAAAAATTCAATCCAAAGTTTTAGTGAATAACTGGGCTCATTTATTTCGATTCAATCTCAGTCTAAGCTAAATTTTTAATCGATTTTCGAGTGATTAACTATCTTCAAGTTAAATCCACAATTTTAATTGTTTCATTTGTCTATGAAGAAAAGTTTCAAAATAATTCTCGATTATTTATCGAGTCATTTTAGTTTTAAACTTTATGAATGCGAATATGGGTTGAAATAATCCTGGACTTTAAAAAAAAGTGCTATTTTGACTCCATTTGAAAGAGTCCCGAGACTGATTTGTTGCTTTTATAAATTTTAAGATTAAAATAGTCTCATATAAATAAAAATAAATAGTCGGGTGACCGCTTAGATATTTTAATTTTAGTATTGCATTATAATGATAAAATTGAAAATATAGTGTATGTAAGTTTAAATGATATTATATAAAAAATTGGATTGTAAATATAGTAATTTTTACATTGAATCCTTAAATAAAATATTCATTTTATATAACAAGTTTTATTTATGACTTGTCATCAAAAAATTCATATGAACATACACTAAAAATCTTGATGTAAAATTTTAAATAAAATAATTTCATAATTAAATTTAGGACAATTTGAAATCTAATTTTGATAATTCATGGTGGTAGAGTCATTATTTACGATGCATAGATTGTTTGTATGTGCATGACTGATAATGATGAAGTTACACCTTAATGGTAATAATGGGGAACATTAATTTACACATGCATGTAAACAAAAAATGATATTGACTTTGATGTGTCTTAATTGACATTGCTTTTAGACAATTCTTCTGCGACGGTTGTACAAATATAAAATGATATTGAAATTATGTTGATATAAACTTTTTAAATAGTATGTTTAATATTTATATTAATTTATAAAGAAGTTCAAGTGTTATGCTTATTGGTTTTTTTTTTTTTTTTTCGCTTGTGTTGTTGTAGTTTATAAGTATAAGAATTCACTTTCTCTTTAACACACAATTGTTTAAAATTTCTTTTCAGGTTTAATTAAATTATTAGAAGATGAGCGATATACCAGAAAATATTTATAAAGACGCAAACAATAAGTAATGAGGTAATATAAATTATATCGTCTTAATTTAATTATTAGGGGTTCTTTCATCTATTACAATATGAGTTAACATAGAAAATTTAATTCACACTGTTTGACTGTCTGTACCAGTCTTGATTAATTCCAAGTTCTGGGCTGGGTCATGACATTCACTCCCCAGTAAGTAGAGAACAATCAAATGAAGAATATTTTTAATATCTTTTGGAAGATGGGTCATCAAATATAAGTAAAAAAGACTCAACTCAAATGATCCTCACTGTTTATTACAAATAGATCCACAACCCCCGCTAGAAGAGGATCAACTTTAAGCTTACATAAGCCAATTTCAATTCCTCTTTACTCTCTATTACAAGTAAACCAGCCACCCAAAAAGAAAGCGACCTCCGATGTGCTGCATGTGTAGATAATATCCTCTTACAAAAGCTTTACACTCATCACCGGCAGCCTTCCGCCCGTAACCACCACCGGCAACCCAAACCATCATCGCCGCCTGACCGGCACCACCCCGCTTTCTCTTTACGCAACAAGAAATGAGAAAAAATAAAAAATAAAAAATAAAAATATAAGTTTTGTGTCACATCATATCCTTGCCACACTAACACAAAAACATTGCAAAACAAATCCTTTGTGTGTGCCTGCATGAAAGTTAAGTACATATACAATCTGTATTTAAGGAGGCAAGGAAATATTTGAATATATGTTTGTGTGAAACTTTAAGTACTCATACAACTTGAAGATTTGTACAAGTTTTTTTTTTTGGCATGGTGGATGAAAACATCCTCGTTGTCGTTATGTTTCGTGACATCGACCATACACGTCTTTGTTGGCATGCCGGGTAGACCTAGCACCCCCTTAGATGCCACTTACAAAAGAATTTCAGGTTTAATTAAATTATTTAAAGAAGAGCGATATACGAAAAAATTTTTATAAAAGACGCAAACAATCAATAATGAGGTAATATAAATTATATCGTCTTAATTTAATTATTAGGGGTTCTTTCATCTATTACAATATGAGTTAACATAGAAAATTTAATTCACACTGTTTGACTGTCTGTACCAGTCTTGATTAATTCCAAGTTCTGGGCTGGGTCATGACATTCACTCCCCAGTAAGTAGAGAACAATCAAATGAAGAATATTTTTAATATCTTTTGGAAGATGGGTCATCAAATATAAGTAAAAAAGACTCAACTCAAATGATCCTCACTGTTTATTACAAATAGATCCACAACCCCCGCTAGAAGAGGATCAACTTTAAGCTTACATAAGCCAATTTCAATTCCTCTTTACTCTCTATTACAAGTAAACCAGCCACCCAAAAAGAAAGCGACCTCCGATGTGCTGCATGTGTAGATAATATCCTCTTACAAAAGCTTTACACTCATCACCGGCAGCCTTCCGCCCGTAACCACCACCGGCAACCCAAACCATCATCGCCGCCTGACCGGCACCACCCCGCTTTCTCTTTACGCAACAAGAAATGAGAAAAAAAAATAAATAATAAAAAGTAAATAAAAATTATAAGTTTTGTGTCACATCATGTTCTTGCCACACTAACACAAAAATATTGCAACTCAAAGCCTTTGTTTGTGCCTGCATGAAAGTTAAGTACATGTACAATTTGTATTTAAGGAGGCAAGGAAGTATGTGAATATATGTTTGTGTGAAACTTTAAGTACTCATACAACTTGAAGATCCGTACAAGTTTTTTTTGGCATGGTGGATGAAAACATTCTCGTCGTTATGTTTCATGACATCAACCATACACGTCTTTGTTGGCATGACGGGCAGACCTAGCACCCCCTTAGATGCCACTTACAAAAGAGATACACAGCAATACTGCAGAATTTAAGGCTCAAAATTAGAATTGTTCGCATGCACTTCGACCAATCTACTAATCTTTGAAATTCTTACACGAGCGGAGAGTAAGCTCAAAGTCAAGCTTACTTTATCTCAAGAGACGTGCAAATAATTTCGAATTCATAAAAAAAAAATCTATTTTTTTCAAATATAAATTTTAAAATATTTATATAACGCACGTTCTTGATTATACTGGTATGATTTTCCTCTTGATAAGAATTGAAGTTGACACGATTGAATCTACTTTTAAGCAGATCAAATTCTCTGTCAGCGAACGAGCAAAGTTGATACACGATCTGATATAGAAAAACTATATCATCCAAATCTCCAATAATCACCGTGTTGACGAAAAAATCTGAATTGATGGATTCGTTTAAAAATAAATAAATAAAATAATAACTTTTACATTTTAAATATTAATTTAAAAGAAAAAAGGCGAAAATTATCACCTAAAAAAGAGAAAAATTTTAAAGTTCTTTTTTAAAAGCTAATACAGTGATAATTTTGTGATGTAAATGTAAGATGTTTAAGCAGTAGACATGTAAATACATAAGAATTAGGTAAATGCCCCTAATCCTATTCAGACAACGAAAGCTAGTATTCACACTCTTGCTTTCAAAATAAATTGTATATTATCAAGGACTTACATGGAAAAATGCAAAAACTAATTACATAGAACTTAAGAAACATTTAAAAAGCTACATATATGACCCGTTTGGGGTAGCTTATTTGGTGCGGTGGCGTTTTGAAAACGCACATGACTTGTTTGGGTAAACGCGTTTTGGCAGCTTGTGCGTTTTCAAAACGCAGAAAACAACATTTTCACACCGCACCTATTTAGGTGTGGTGGGAGCTTATTGACAATGGTCTGGCTTTTCCAAAAAAATAAAAATTTGTAATAGTCATAAGAACAGCATTCATGTTCAAAAACGCTTAGCACAATCTATAAATGCAAATCTCTTAATTACACAAAGCAATTAAGTATTTATGAAACAAGCCATAAGAACAACATGGACCAAAGCGTAAGTCCTACAGAAGCTGCAATATATGACCAAAGAAAAATTACAGACAGTTCTCCTTCACCAGCATCAAACATTTGTATCATAGAAGCTGCAAAAACATTAATTTCAAAACATGAACTCATAATTTATTTCAAAATTTCTTGTAATTATATACTTATAGTTAATTATTACATAATTACCAATATTCATTGCAGGTGGAACAGCATTCTGAAGATATAGAACCAAGTGATATAATGGGTCAGAATGAACTAAACCAAAATGAACTGCAAACTGAATGAAAGTTGTGCCGATGATCGGCAAAGCAATGAATCGAACGACGATGATGCCGGCGATGATGGAGATTTTGATCCCCGGGCCATTGAAACCTAATTTTTTACAATGTTATTATTATCATTAATTAAAATGATAATTACAAAAGAAGCCCAGAAGGCGACATAAAAAGAGAAAAGATATATGGAAAGCTCATGTTGCTATAGAAACAACATTAAAGGGGGTTGGATATGTAAATATAACTAAAGGAATGGAAAAATGTCACCTTTGATGAGATTTCCTCCTGTTATAAGTATGAGACTTGGGATGGTGCCATTGCTGCAAGAATAGATTGAAATTCATTTTGTGAAACATTTGTGCAAATATTTTGAAGTGATTGTGTAATTGAAGCTTTTAGATAAAGTAAAAGTGATGACATATTGCAAAAACAAAATTACAAAGCATTGAAGGTTTTTCTCTAGGCATATTTGAATGGAGAAGTATATAGCTATGTAATGATATATTGAACATGTCCTTATATTTTTCATGTTGGAATTGATCTTCTAGACTTGTTTAGGTCATTTTTTGGAGTATTTCAATCTATAAATATGCAAAAACATAATTTCAAAATATAAAATATGTAATAAAAATGAGATTTTTAAAATTTTTCATGTAATCAAATTTAAGTAATATGGTTTAGGACATATATATGCTAACATTTTCATGCTAAAGTTAATAGAATATGTTGATTATGATGATGATGTGTTTAAAACATGGACGCTTCAATACATATAGGGGCATTTAAATGCCTACCGCCTAATTCTCATGTATTTGCATATCAAACACGTACATTTTACTCTTTACACGTTTATACTGCACAAACGCTAAGTAGCACTTCAAAAATATTATTATTCTAACATTTATATTGAAAGGTGAAATGTACATTTTCATGCATGGGTAATGGGGCGTATATATGTAAATACTTCTATATTTATATGTAAGAAAATGAGAATCAATGTACCCTAGTAACGTGAAGGAGTCACGAGCCATGCGAAGAGGAGCATTTTCACCGATCATTGCTTTTTTAAGTTGAGGAGTTGCTCCAATTATAAAACCAACAATCTAAAAACAAAAAAGTGCAATTAGAACAAATTTTAAGAGGAAATAAGCAAAAGAAGGATGTTATATTATCATACAATTTAAAACAATAATATGATAACATACATCTAGAAGTGGAGTGGGAAATTTCCTGCCTTCAAATTTTATATTTTCCTTAATAGTTTGGATAATTTAACAATTTTGCACTATTTAAGTTAATTATTTTGCCAGGTGCTTGAAATATATATA